CAAAGTGGCTAAAGGCCTCGAGCAGGCCGAGAAAGCGGTCAACACATGTAAGTGTCGGCCCCCTCACCCCTCTCGGGAGAAAAAAACCCAGCCAACACCCCCCCTCAAGACCTGTACCACCCCTACTCGGACGGCACCTTCTTCCGCTACGAAGCCACCCTGACCCGCGACGACGACGAGCACGACATCCACGGCGAGCGATATGAACTCTCAGTAAGCCCCCCCCCTCCCCACCCCGGCACCCCCATCACCGCCCACCCTCATTAACCACCGCCCGGGGTCCGGCTTCCCGGTCCAACAGCTCTACGAATCCAACGCCAAACCCCACCTGTACTGGTTCGTGGCCAAGTTCTTCAAACGCAAGGGCGACAGCCAGCCCAAGTTCTACCGGCCGAGCGAGGTGCCGGGCCTGTTTGCCAAGGAGTTCGCCCAGTTCGAGGCCTTCTTCCAGGTCAAGACGGGCATCCCGTGGGAGCGGCGCCTGGTGGCGCAGAAGCCGCTGGACGAGAAGGATAGGGTGTTCTTCCGGTACACCCCGCCCGTGAGTTTTTGTTTCTGTTTCTCTCTCGCTCTTCGAGGGGAGGAAGTTGGCTGACGACGGTGATGGCGCAGGCTAGGGGGAAGCTGGTGGGGTTTGTGAAGGCCGAGTTTGCGCCAAGGGAGAGTCCGGAGGCGGAGCAGCCCGGCGCCGAGCCGGTAGCCAAGTCAGCGGCTGCGCCGGAGGAGCTTCCAGAGGAGCGCCCTGCAGCTGACAAGCAAGTCCAAGCCGTGGCTGATCCAGTGCAGGAGCTCACCGAACAGGCTCCGAATGAGCCAATGCAAGCCGAGCTGAATAGCATCGCCGAGGCACCCGCTACGACTGGACTGGCCCTGATATCAGAGGCCAGCTTCACAAGCACCAACGACGTACCTTCCTAGGCGGCGGAGGTCATCGTGATCGACTGGTGGATCCTCACCTATTATCAAACATTATTAAGTGAAAGGAAGGAGGCTTAGGGTGCTGAGGATTCTCAATCTAGTGGCTAAAGGCATGGTTCATGGCGCCTTGTATTGTGCGTTGATTTTTTCTTGACTGCATTCATTTTTTTTTTACGGTACTGCTTTTCACACCTCGGATATCAAAGGAGGGCATGCGCCAGATTGGTGCAAGGTTTCACTCACGAAACTACAGCTGAGCCACAAAGAAGCATTAAATTACCCAAGTAAAGGCAGCTCATAGCTCATAGCTGGTAGCTCACAACTCACAGCTCGTAGCTCATATAGCTCGTAGCCCATAGCACATGGCCATAGCCATCATAGCCATTCCCCAAAATACTACCGTTTTCGCCTGACCGCTCCGTTCCTAAAACCTCAACTTGGGCAGCACAAACACCACGAGCACCAACACCACCATCAGCCCATACACCTGGGCATACAGCCTCATCCGGCCCCACCACCCCTCCCCCTCTGTCATCCTCTGCAGCGTGCCCATGCGCCGCGTCACCGCCTGCATGCCCTCGCCGGTGCGGTTCATGCCCTCGCCGGCGCGCTCCACCACCTCCTTGTCTTCGTCCAGCGTCGCCGCGAAGGCGTGCGACGACGCCTTGAGGTCGCCCGCCAGCTTGAGAATCGCCTCCGACAGCAGGTCCTGCTCGGCCCGCTGGTGGTCCAGGATGGCCTCCTCCGTCGCCGTGGCCGCCGTGGCGCCCGGCGCGTGCGCGTGTGATGTGGCGACGGCCCGGTCGCCGAAGAGCGCTAGGGACGGCGGGCTGGGGGATGTGCCTGTGGTCTGGGCTTGGGCCGGCTTTTCGGAGGAGGAGGAGTCAGCGGCGGCGCGGCGCGGCCGGAGGGCTTGTGATGTCGTGGTGGTGGCTGTGGGGGGTGGGTCTGATTGCTGGGGTTCCTCTTTGGGCGAGGCGTCTTCCTCTTCCTTCACTGGCGGTTGGTGCGCTTCGAGCGTGTTGGGGACGGGGTCTGCGGCGCTGGCGGCTTCGTCTGGGTCTTCGGGGGGCGCATCGGGTGACCTTGAGGAGTCGAGGCTCTCGCTCGGTGTTGCGATAATGTCGGCAAGGATGTCCTCGCCTTCCGAGGTGTCGTCGTCGTCGTTGTTGGCTTCGGCGGCGGCGATCTCGGCCAGATCGTTCAGGCGATCTACGAGCTGGTCGAGAGCTTCGCGCTTCCGGTTGAGGTCGGCCTGCATCTCGTGGCGCCGGGCGTGGACCTTGACTGCGATGGCCTCTTGCTCGAGCTTGGTGAGGAGGGATTGAGCATAGCGAATGTTCTGCAAAGGGATGTTAGCTGATACACATGTTGGGAGAGTAACATGGCAAACATACCGTCTGCGCCTTTTCTCTCTCAAACTCGCTCGCGCGCAGTCTTGCCTCTCGCTCTGCATCGGCACGCAGGATGGTCTGCTGCAGCCGGTCCAACAATCGATTCAGGTCTGTCAGGGGGTCGGCCTGCCGAGTGCTGGGCGCCGGCACCGCGATTCCGTGGATCAACCGAACCATTTTTCGGACTGTCTATTTTGCTATTGGTATGCTGTCGTGGTATGTTGTGAATGTCGGTGTGAAAAGCGTCGTCCTTCGTCCTTTGTGTTTTGTCTGATGGACAGATTGCCTGCCGGCCATGTGGCTCGGCTGGAATGACGTTGATGGGACCCCAGACCCCAGCTCCAACCGACTACTACGGTTGGCCCTACCTGCCACGCAGCCTGGCAGGGCGGAAGCAACCCTAACCCTTTGCATGCAGGTCTGGGGCGAATTTATCCATTCGCGCCTCAAGCCATGCAGCCTCCCCCCCCCCCCAAAGAGCCTCGCACCCATCCGGCCATCGCACCCGCCAGGACCCTCGATAGTATGCATTGGTAGATTTGTCGCCTCATATTTTACAAGATGAGGTCGGCCATGCCACGGGCAGCGCGCGGCGCTCTTGGGCTGAGGTTTGCGCACTCTCGCGCTCTTGCGACTCGATCTCCGAACCGTTCAAGCAAGAGCTCCAGCTTGAGCTTTAGCTCCAACTTGAGCTTAGCTTTGGGCACCCGGGTAGGCCACCGCAGCCTTTCTTCAACCACAATTCTGCGGGACGAAAAGATCCATGAAGACGATGGCTACGAGGACTATCAAAGGAAATGGTCGACGCCATTGGCCGAACAGCTTGGCAAAGCCATCTCGGTATGTCTTTCAAGCTCTTAGTAACACACTAGCTGCTGTATCATGCTCGACAGCGGCTTACCAGAGACCAGGCAACTGGCCCCGTTCCGCTCGCCAGCTTCATGCGCATGTGCCTGACCGGCGACATGGGCGGCTACTACACGGGCGCCATCGAGAAGGGCCGTGACCAGTTTGGTCTGAAGGGCGATTTCGTAACCTCGCCCGAGATATCACAGGTCTTTGGCGAGCTTATCGGAATCTGGTTTGTAGCCGAATGGCTCACCCAGGGGTGCCAGAAGCAGGGCGTCGAGCTCATCGAAGTCGGCCCCGGCCGCGGCACCCTCATGAGCGATATGCTCCGGGTGGGTCCCCAGCGATCCGTTGCCTTGCCGGGTGCAGCATGTTGACGTCTGCCAGACAATCCAAAGCTTCCCAGCCATGGCAGACAGCATCGATGCGGTTTACATGGTCGAAGCGAGCCCCGAGCTTAGGGAAGCGCAGAAAAAGCTGCTCTGCGAGGAGGATGCTGCCACGACCGAGTCCAAGGTTGGCAGCCACAGCGTCTGCAGGTACATGTCGGTCCCAATCGTGTGGACAGAGAACATCAAGTCCATCCCTATAAGTGAGCCCCCTTCCGCAAACCTGGCCCTCTTGAGGGCGATCTGACACACGGCAGGCGCCGAAAAGATGCCCTTCATTGTGGCGCATGAGTTCTTCGACGCCCTCCCAATCCACGCCTTTGAGTGTGTCAAGGTGCCTCCGACCCAGTCCCTGCCGCAGGACAAGGCAGACCTGTCCTCGCCCTCCACCAAGACCAGCCAGCCGACCCTCCAGTGGCGCGAGATGCTCGTCTCGCCCACGCCGCCCGAGTCTACCCACGCGAGCCTGCGCACGCCGCCGTCCCAATCGCGCGAGACGCCCCCGCCCGACTTCCAGCTCACCGTCGCCCAGGCCGCCACCCGGCACTCGCTCTACCTCCCAGAATCCTCGCCGCGGTACCGCGCCATCAAGTCGGGCGTCGGCGCGGGCGCGCTCATCGAGGTGTGTCCGGACGCGTCCCTGTACGCGAGCGACTTCGCCGCGCGCATCGGCGGCTCCGCGCAGCACCCCAAGCGCCGGCCGTCGGGCGCCGCGTTGGTCCTCGACTACGGCCCGGGCGACGGCACCGTCCCGGCCAACTCGCTGCGCGGCATCCGCCGTCACCAGCGCGTGTCACCCTTCGCCGAGCCGGGCCTGACGGACCTGAGCGCCGACGTCGACTTCGCCGGCATCGCCGAGGCCGCCGTGCGCGCCAGCGAGGGCATCGAGCTGCACGGCCCCGTCGAGCAGGGCACGTTCCTGCAGATCATGGGCATCCAGGAGCGCGTCAAGGCGCTCGTCGCCGCCGCCAAGGTCCGGGCCGAGGCCGGCGACAAGGATGCCGAGAGCTACGCGGCTGATGTCGAGAAGGCTTGGAGGCGGCTAGTCGACCGCGGGCCTGGTGGCATGGGCAAGGTGTACAAGGTGATGGCCATGTTGCCCGAGAATGAGGGGCGGAGGAGGCCTGTTGGCTTTGGGGGAGATGTCTCGGCCGAGTAACGGGTTTCAAATGTGTATATTAGCTGTCGTGGTCACTCGGTCCCCCACGAAATCAAAGGTACATGGGATGAAATGATATTTTGGGGTTTTCTGAGGCCAATAAACGCATCGTGTAAACACTAGTATCCCGGGTCTCAATGTCGGCTTTAATCAAGTCAACGTCACAAAAGCAAACCGCACGCAGGCAGGCGGGCAGTGGGACTTTCCTCCCCAAAACCCCAAGCTCCTCATCCTCGCCTCCAGAGGAGCGAAAAAAGAATGCAACTAACCAAAATTTAGTTTTTGCGAATGAGCCCACTCCCAGAGTCGAACTGAGGACCTCATCATGTATCAGTAGATACATCAGGGGAATGATATACTAGTGATGCGCTCTACCACTGAGCTAAGCGGGCAGATTGTATGTGGATTATTGTTTGGAAAGGGCCGAGCGTTAGTATAAGTATGGTGCTTTTCGAATGTGTCTGTGCCGGAGGGCTGGTCCGCTTTGGGGCTGCCGGCGGGCTGGGCTCCACTGCTTTGAGCGCAGGGTTGCTTCATTGTCAGCTTGTGATGATGTCTGTTGCTTCCATCCTGTTTGGGAAGGTTGGCAATTGACGACATACATTTACGCAAACAGAGAGGCACAGAGGGTTCAGAGATATAGAGCTATATATCAGTATCATCGTTTTGAAATATCGTTTTGGTGTTTCCATCCCAGGTATTTTCCAATCATTTTACCTTGCATGTATTAGGCTCATTCACCTCCTACTAGAAGCTGGAGATGAAGCCCGAGGGCTGGCTTAGTGTTAGTCAACAAGTCCATGGATGCAGTACCCGCGGGCTGGCCTTCACAGTATGACCGCTCGACCAAAACATTATCTTCTTGGCCCTCACCAACATTTCTTCTCCTTACAAGACGCAGCAGAAAACTCGACGCAGTTGCTCACAACATCAACGAGTGATCGGGCAATACGAAAAGAGAAATAAGCGGGGGCACAGAGGCGTTTCTCGTCACTGCGAGGGTGCCTTTCCGCCTGATAATGGCGGGGTGAGCCGTGACCAACGTCTTCCTCATGCTGGTTCGTGCGTGGGCGTGGCGAATGAGAAATTACCTCAAGCCAGTTGAACATCCAGCAGCTATCGGACGCGCTCCCGTGGCGATAGGCTGATGGGTAATGCGACTCAGGAAACTGTGGCTGGAGGGAATATTCATAGAATCATCAAAACTTCTGGACAGCTCCATCGCCAAGATCAGGCCTAAAAAAGGGCTGGAGGTGAGCGAGAGGCGGCCACTCGGGTGTGAATTCGCTCTGCATCTGGTCGCATCTCACCTCCGGCCAGTCGCGGCTTGTTTCCGGGGATGCACAAGGCAGAAGGATGCGTGGATGCGCATCAGATGCTACCATGGGTACTGTGCAGTAAACGCTCTAGGCTGTGAGGGCCAAACTCGGCCCACAGGAAAAACCTCTGCGTGTGGTGGCATCGTGGTCTTTTCCATCCCAGACCGCAAGGCAGCCGCGCGACACAACCTCGCATTCTCGCTCGTCAGGTAGCGTACTTTAACTCCGTAGCACACGGCAGAGCGTGGTGTGGGGGGGAGAGGACTGGCGTTGAAATAAGAGGTGGGAGCTTGCCTCTAGTTCACACAACCCACCGCCAGCGCGCCAGCCCGCGCGCGATCCCGTCTGATCGATTGGGTGTTTCGCTATCAGGGGGAAAATGCAGGTGAATCCAAACGGGCAATCCTGAGCTCATCCCGGCTGACCGCGCAAGATACACACCCCGGGTGTGTGTGGATAGTGCCGAGAATGGGCTGGTCGCTGCTCTGGTGCCGATACTTTGCGGTTTGCCGAGGCCACTGAGCCGGCAGGAAGCCGGCATGGCATAGCTTGTCCGCTCAGAGGAGCGATGCATGTGCGTCTCGCTTCTCAAAATAATCGTCGCTCTTGTTCATATAAATTTGTGGTTGCCCAACAGGACGCGTCGCATCAGCCAGAGTAGAGGTGTGGTACCGGCTCTGGTCCGATCCTGTCTACTGCGTAGTAGTAGGCGGTCCATGTCCTTGTGGTCCATCCTGACGAACGGACTCGACTCCAGGAAAATAGCCGCAAAAGGAAACGAGGCGGCGGACCGTGGAAGAGATGTGGTCTCTCGGGAAACAAAAACGTGACATTGGGATGCACGGAATGTTTTTGGGAAGCGCTCTCTGTTCGCTGTAAGACGGTATGAAATGGCCGGCCGCATTTCTCAGAACGGCTCCAGAACGGGAAAACCACCAGGGCACACGACGCACTGACCTTGACCCGCAGCACCACCCGGGCCCACTTGGCGTGCATGCCACACTCGAGACCCGCTTGAGCTGCGTCGTTCCAGCGCCGCACTTGAGAGGGACCCTGGCCCTGCACGGTTGAGCTCTCTCCCCCCCAGTGCGCGCCCCCGTTCCCCTCCCCTTCCACCCCTTCCAGGCCGGCTTCAGGTGGGTGTGGGTGACATGGGGGGGGGGGCCAGGGTAGACAAGGGGACATTGGCGACAGGGGGGGCTACTGGGGCTAGGTCTGCACAGTAGAGTGGCGCCAGCCGCTTCTCTGGAGGATGGAGGTACCTTTTTTTCTCTGAATGATTAGCAGATTGCCTTCCCGGTCAGTCTTCCCCAAGCCAAGTTCAATGCACACGCACCACACACACTACAGCCGCCCACTTGCTCCGCTCTGACTTCTGTCTCTTCCTCCCTCTTCCTCCTCCCGTTCCCTTGACAGATCACTGCTCCTGCGTCCTAACTTGTCAAGTGCCACCACTGCCATCGTCGGCAACAACAACATCATCAAAACAGCACATCGCTGCCGTGCAGCCCCCATCCTGCCCCTGTCCCGCCGCCCGTCCCCGCTGTCGCCCGGCAGCTTGTCTGAGATTGACTTTTGCGCGCGCCTGTCGCAGGAGGCTGAACTTTGGGCAGCGGGCTCGGCCTGGAAAAAAAAACCTACACCAACCAACCCATCGCCCTTTCTCATTGCCATCGCCGCATCGCTGTCTGCTTCTACCTAAACCCAGCACAATCGAGCAAAAAGGCGACAGCAAAAAAAACCACGACGCCATGTCGATGTATCCCGGACATCGCGGTATGGGGGGTGCCCCCCCTGCTAACGGCAGCCCTGGCCGTCTCAATGAACTCCTTGACCAGATCCGCGCCGAGTTTGAGTCGCACATTCGCCAGACCGAGGGCTACGAGCACCAGTGTAGGTTTTCGTGCTCTTTTCTTTCTCATTGGCCTTCATGTCGACGTGACGCAAAGCATCCCCCGAGGCCAACTCATGTCTTGTTGTCGTGTGATGGCCCCAAAACTGACACAAAACCTTTTCTCCAGTGAGAGAGCAAGTTTCCGAGGTGCAAGTTATCCGCGAGCGAGTCTACCAAATGGAGCAGACCCAGTTGAATCTGAAGCAAAAGTAAGCCAAACGCGCGCCCCCCCCCCCCCCTTCCCCCCTCTTTAACCCCCGCGTATTCCCAGCCCATATCGTTCTCGGCGCAGGTGATTGACACGTGCGTCGGACAGGTACGAGGAAGAGATTACCATGTTGCGCCGCCAGCTTGAGAGCCGTGGTGGCCACCCGGGTGCGATGAACCCGCCTCCGCAGCACGCTGGCCCGTCCCAACCGCCCCCCGCAATCGGCAACCAGACCAATGTGTTCGGCGCAATAATGGCGGGGCAAGGCGCCCAGGGCGGAGGACTAGCTCCTCCTCCTCCCCCGCCGCAACAGGAGCAGCAACCTCCGCACATGGCACCCGCGCCGCCCGGACTCCAAGGCCCTCCTCCCCCGCCGCCGCCGCCGCCCCACCAACCCCCTTTTCAGCAATACCCCCAGGGACCGGCGCCCGGTGGATTCCCTTCTCAGCCTCCCCAGAGCACCGCCTCACCGGGACCCGGCAAGCGAGCGATCGGGAGACCCCCCACTGGTCCGGCTACTCCCCAGATCAACACCCCGATCCCCTATAATGGGCCTGGCCAGTCTCCTCAGGTCCCAAACCATCCCACCCCCGACCAGCAGCCGCGCATGGCCCAGCACCCCACTGGTCCCCCTCCCGTCCAGAACAACTCTCTGAGCGACCTGGACCCGGAGCGCCTCCCGAACCATATCAAGAAGGTCAAAGATGATTGGTGGGTCATCTTCAACCAGGCTGTTCCTCGCGTCTTGGACGTCGATCTTGTTCACACCCTGCAGCACGAAAGTGTGGTTTGCTGTGTGCGATTCAGTGCCGACGGTAAGTATGTTGCAACTGGGTGTAACCGATCTGCCCAGATATACGACGTCGCTTCTGGCGAGAAGATTTGCATTCTGCAGGACGAGAACATTGACCTGAACGGTGATCTCTATATCCGAAGCGTCTGCTTCAGCCCCGACGGCAAATATCTGGCTACCGGAGCCGAGGACAAACTGATTCGCGTCTGGGACATTGCCGCAAAAGCCATCCGAAACACATTTGCAGGCCACGACCAGGATATTTATTCGCTCGATTTTGCCCGTGACGGACGCACCATTGCCTCTGGAAGTGGTGACCGCACAGTCAGACTGTGGGATATCGAGACTGGTAGCAACACTTTGATTCTCAGTATAGAAGACGGAGTTACAACTGTTGCTATTTCGCCCGATGCCAAGTTTGTCGCGGCTGGCTCTCTGGACAAGAGCGTTCGAGTCTGGGACATCAAGACTGGATACCTGATTGAGCGCCTGGAAGGCCCCGACGGCCACAAGGATAGCGTCTACAGCGTTGCATTCTCGCCCAATGGACGGGATCTCGTCAGCGGTAGTTTGGACAAGACGATCAAAATGTGGGAGCTCACGGCGCCCCGAGGCATGAACCAGCAACCCGCCCTGAAGGGTGGAAGATGCGTAAAGACATTTGAGGGTCATAGGGTATGTGATTTGTTGTCTCTCCCGCTCTACGTAAAAACTAACAACGGCGCAGGACTTTGTTCTTAGCGTGGCTCTTACCCCTGACGCGCACTGGGTGCTGTCAGGTTCTAAGGACCGCGGCGTTCAGTTCTGGGATCCCCGTACTGGCCAGACACAACTCATGCTCCAAGGCCACAAGAACTCGGTTATCTCGGTTGCGCCCAGCCCAACTGGAGGCTACTTCGCCACCGGATCAGGCGACACAAGAGCCCGTATCTGGTCCTACTCGCGCGTAGGGTAGAACCCAATGGTGGCGCGGTGTACCCCATTTCGGAATGGTTTACCCTATGATTTTGTCCCCAGTGTTCGGAATTATCTGGTTTAGGACACAACTACTGGATTCGAACCGGCTGGGAGAGAGAACAAGACAAAATGCCGTGCATGTTAGCTGGCTTCTCGGGCATAACATCTTTGGCCTGGGCTGTTCGACCGGGGGGAAACGAGACAGAAGCGGAACCTAGCGG